ATATTAGAAGCAGTCTAGATGGTATAATCACTACCAACTGAAATGACGGGGGTAGAAGATGTTCCATTGGCACAGCATGGGGTAGCGTAAACCTTCCCAATATTTTGCAATCACAGCTGATCTAGACAGTAATAAGAGATACAAAATGTCACGGCGGTAGAAGGGGTAGCAAACTAAATGTCTGAAAATCACAGTCGTACATTGACTTGAAATATTAGCAAAAATTGTCGGTATCAGGCATCAAAGATTCACATACGCGAGCGACAAGTGTATTTGGCTTGGAATCAACAATGTGGTTGTAGAATAGATCGCACATGGCCGTCTTTCCGGACAAAGCGGGAGCGCGGATGAATATCAACGGAATGCGATCAAGAAGGCTTGCAAATGTTTTGACCGTGTCTGTTCGATATGTCGTGTATGTTGACGGAACTCCTCCTTCATGTTCCAACTCGGAGTGCTCAATGCGTACGTTGAACTTCTGAAAGCGTCTTTCGTTCTCGCCCGGTGACACCGCTGACACAATAGCTCCACCAATCTGTCGCTGCGTTCACTCTGGAACCACCACCAGCACATGAACTTGGTCCTCACCTGGTCTAAAATTCTCCCCAAAGTGCTGATTGTTCTTGATCCACAGCAAGGGGTTCATCTTCACGAAGTTGTGGCGGTTTCCATGCTCATCTAGCATCACAGGTACCTTATCAGCTTCATCGACCGTCACCGCTGCCACGCCTCGTCCTTTTTCGCCAGGAAGGGTTGCAGGTCCTTGGCGTCGCAAGTGATCGTTGCTGGATTCTCCCCCTTGATCGCTTTCTTCAACGCAGCAACTGACACACCATCGTCGATATCCACCTCGAACACGCTGCCCGCCACACCAACAACCGCACAGAAGAGCTTCACCACCGTTCCTCGGATTCTGGAATGAATGAGGAAGAAGGAGAGGATTTCCGTTCGTATTTAAGCGGAAATCCTCTCCTTCTTCTCGGAGCACCTCTTTGCGGTATGAAAAAAACTGCCGGCGTAATGTGCCAGAATATACTACTAACGTCCACGAGGATGGATTAGTGAATTTATATTATATATATAATACCTGCTGTGAAGATTCATATCGCCAACGCTCTCGGCCATCCTACACAAACAATCATATTCTGGTGTTGGCAATATACTGAAGGAATCTTGGTTTGCTTCACCTTAACTTTCGACTGGGTCACACTATTTCTTTAGCGATT